CTTACACTGAAGAAAGTGGAATTTTAAAAAATACGAATTTAACACTATATGGATGTGGTTTTTAAAGTTATTGGTGTTTCAAAACTGTAAAAAGCTTTGCTCATTGTATTAGAAGGTAGTATTTCCTGACAATTTGCTTCAACAAGAATGTCATTTGAAACCTCTTCCCTCTGTCCTGCCCTCTCCCGTATCCATAAAACAGAGCTGGCACTACCTGTTAATGGGAGAAGAGGCTGTACATCATTTTGCTCTCCTTCAGAAATAAACCTGATTTGCAAGTTGCTTTATGACAGTTGTTATGTAGTTTACCTAGTTCCAAATATTTTAATCAAAGCCAAATTCTCTACTTGCATAAGAATGGCTGCAACTTCTCTAGTTTAATAGGGCTACGACTGATGCCAGGAATGCAACTGATCCACTCTAGTTATAGGGCTGCAAAATCAGAATAAACTAAGAAATAATCTCTCTAAGAGTTTCTTCATTTAGGATTCTTTCCAGGAAAAAAGAGGAGAGGGGAGGGTAGGGGAGAGCAAGGGGAAGGGGAAGAGAGAAAAGAGAGAAGATCTAATATAGATTATAAAGGTAACAGTATTCCGTGATTCTCATCCACAACTTGCAGCTACACAACTATCATGCCAAGGGTTCTAAATGATGCAAGGTCTGCTCAAGAAACAAAACCCATTTTTCAACATATGCTTAAAAAAATTGAAAAAAAAAAAAAAACTCAGAGTTTGCACAGCAAACTGTTTGACCACTGAATATGCAAGAGTTTCTCAAATCTGACTTGCAAGCGAAACCACTTGGTCGCTGGTGAGCGTCCTCCAACCAAATTCCCTTCCTGCCTACGCGCTATTTAACATCACGCTGGTTGTGCCGGTCTGTGGGAGAGCAGAACGCCCGCTGGCTAAGAGGAATACCTGATAGCGAAATTGGCAAGAGTCCCTGCAAATCAATAGTTTTAAAAAATAAAGTAAAACTCCATGATGATCCAAGTTTCAAAACCAAGTAAAAAAAATAGATGTAAACTAACACACACCCCCCGAAAAAACAACAACAACAACAAAAAATCTATCACACCAGCAAGAGTTCTGCAGTCAGCATTAGTTATACCCAAAACATACAAAATATCCTCCCTTCTTTTTATGTTTGCACTGCCCCAAAGGAAGATTATAGATCATTGAAAGTGCACTGCATTTTAGTGATATTTTAAAGTTTTTAGCATATTCTTTGTAATAAAGATGATGAGAATAAAAACTATGAGAAGTTGCTGTATGCGACTGAAACACGTGATGAGACCAGAGGTCCAAGATGCTCAGGACTGCCCTGGTGCCTCTCTCATATTCCTGCTCAGTTTTCCGAGCACCAGCCTGCAGATTTCCAAGAGTCATCATTTTCCAATGACCAAGCCCTGCAGCTAAACAGGACTGTGCTCCGACAAGAGCTGTCCCCAACAGCGGCACCAGGGACCTTTGCAGAGGGCTGCCCCATGCAGGGGGGTCATTGGGAAGATGCTCCCCAATATAAAGCAGCCCCTCTACCTGGCCAGGCCTGGCCAAGTCGCCTGCATCAGGCAAAAGAGAAATACCAGGCTAAGCTAATGCAGAATGGGCTTGACATTCTCTCTGCCCAAATACAGATGCTAGTGAGCAAGAATTTCTTGTGAGGATAAATGATCTTAAATATATTGAGTGTGGTGAAAGCAATCTGTTGATGTTCAGCATATAATAACATGAAATCTGCCTTGAGCAACTCTGTAAAAAGGTTCATTCAACTGTTTCATGAAATTTTCTAATAAAGATGGAAAAGAACAGTCTGACGGTCTCTTCAAAGTACAGTTAAAAATAAAAAGAGTTGATGAAAGAGAAAAGGATCCTTGAATTTCCTTACGAAGTTCATTTCATTTCCCCAAAGCTGAGAAAATGATCACAAAGCAAATGACATTTGTTTTACATCAGAACTTTGATGTATACAAAATTTTCTTCTATATTGGAAAAGCTGTTTAAAAGCTAACAAAAAATAGAGCTAAACTACTTTTTATATTTCCATTGGTTATGCTACCTAATATTGAGGACGAATTGTATTTTTATGTACTATTTAAATAAAGACTTTTTATATGGAAGGAAAAAGCCTTCCGTATATCTGCTGGGATACTTTACCTGGCCTTTTTTTTAAAAAAAAAAAAAAAAAAAACGGAAAAGTAAATATTTTTGTCACCTCCTTTTTTTTTTTTTCTCCTCTCTCCACAGAGGAAGCAAGATATATTAGACTTTCTCTTCTTCACAAGGTGAGAGATGCCTCTACATTGGGTATGAGGCACTTTCATTTGATTTAATCTGTTCCAATGAAATTAAAATGGTCCAAATGAAATGATAACGTAGGAGTTGAGGACTGTATGCCTTTTTTTTCCACCCACAGTGACATGTCTTTTGAATATAAGTGCAGATCTATGATCTTCCCTTTTATGTCCTTTATTCTAGTATCTCGAGATCTGACTGAACTCCCACCACAAACTAGGAACATTTCAAACATCACAGAGTGAAAACAGCTACAAAAACTGTAAGAATATCTCACATATTTATAAAGAACTGAGAAAACAAAGGAAATTAATCCACTGTGTAGCTAATTACAGAGAATCTAAAGTACTAAGATATTCTTAAATGGAATAGTTTGACACCATACTACAGACTGCACTGCAAAACCAAATGTACACATATATATCTCAGAGGTCTGTAAGTTTCTAAATAATACAAAAATATCTTTGTTATTTGACATTTAACGAAAGGAATAAAAATCCCTGAGTAAGCCAAAGAGAACTGATATGTATGGCCTCCAAAAACACTTTCAAAAGCAAAACTGATTTTAAGGCAGCTTCCAACCTGCAGAAAGAACAAAAATACAGAACTCTTGTGTCACCGAAGAAGAAATATAATTAACAGGTGGATTTGCATTGAAAATAGCCTTTGAACTTTACTTCTAAATATCACTGCTTCCCAGCTTAATTTGAAAATCCTAGATAGCTACTACTGTAATGACAGGGTCAACGTGCCCTTAAACTCAAACGGAAAAATTAGGTTGTGTTGGCTCCTGCGCTGTGCTTGGACACACTGCTTCAGCAAGGGGGGAAAGAAAGGAAAAGCAGACCTGCACACACGCACGAGCCAACTGCAGCAAGCGCACACTTGCATTTCCAGGTAAACAAAAGTCATCAGTTTCTTTCACTGAGGCTTTGCAGTCAAACAGATTATTTCATGATTTTCAAAAAGAGTATTACATTGAAGGGCAGCATACTAATTACTTAGTCGTTACAGCTAGATGCAGATTTTGTGACGAGTTTCGTAGGAAGCATCGCAAAGCGCATCCTTTCAAAAGACTACCTGGGGCCTCAATTTTGAGGTCTCTAGACTCTTAGTGTATGGCCTCTCTTCTTCCCCCTCCTCCCATATACACAATACAAACACACACAAACATTACACTGAAAAAAGTACCTTTGCCATACAAATTGATTCTTGTTTTAAGATCAGTTTGATTTTTGTTATAAATAGAAAGCAAGTATTTGTGTATCAGTGTTCAGAATACACAAACTTATTTTATTCTAAGTTTTACTTTTAGGTTGTGTTTGCATGACAAATTTATACTAGAACTAAGAAAAAAAAAAAAAAAAGTCTTAGTAGCTAAAGATCTTAGTCCTAACCCTGAATTACATTGCTTTTGTGGTGATGCACTCAGAAGAAAGTCCAGTAATAGCCAGTGATAGTCTGAAGTTAGGAACAGGGAGCAAGAATAGCTGTTCTCTTCAAAGACATTCAGCAACGTGCCAGAAAGGAAGGGAGACACCGGAAGCACAGAAGAATAAAACTGTTTCCTAAGAATTCATGCCTCCTCCTGTTACACAAACTTCTTAAGTTTTCCTTATGAGGCATCAGTGGATGCTCTAAGACGTGGGTAGTCCTCTTTAAAAAAAAAAAAAAAAAGAAAAAAGAAAAAGAAAACAGGGTCCCCTAGGTAATAAAATATCATCAATTTAAACTTCACGTAACTAGAGTAAGTAGTAAGTATGCCAAGTCAGAAGAGAAGAGCGAATACATTTCCTTGTACATTTGTGGATCACATTTCAGTGAATAACTGGGAATAGAACAAGCCACGGCTACTTCTCACCAGTTAAACCTCCCAAATCTTTTCTTTTCAGTGGGAAAGGTGCAAAATGCTGTACTCTTAAAGTTACTCCCCCCCCCCCAAATTCTATTTATAAGCTGATAAAATTTAAATACTAAAGCAAACTCAGTGTACTTATAGGTGTACTTATGAAGTTTCAATAGTCATCTTGTATCTCCTTGAGGCACTGTTATTTGGCTGGGGCAATCCAGGCCGCAGAAATGCCACCTACGCTCTTGGTCGGTGCGGAAGATAACCAGCTGTCACGTCCTGGCATGTGCTGGGGGTTTGGTATGCTGAACAGAATGCTGTATGATGGAAGTTATTTACAGAATTCGCTTTTAATACCAAAAGTAGAGCGCTTAGCGTACAGTAAGAGCCCAAACACTTCTAAGCATTTCCCCCTGGAAGGCCGACGCTGAAGTTAAACGGAGCACGTGTCAGCAGTTAAATGCTTTCTTCACAGGCCAAATCAGTAGTAGAGTCGTGGCTACAACGCAGACTTTGATTGTCTAGTTCAAACACTTGGATTTAAATTTAAAAATAAAATAAAATAAAATAAAAACTCCGAAGTAATAATTAAAAAAAGGACCAAAAAACCCCACCAAACAAACAAAACCGAAAAAACAAAACCCCCAAAGCAAACGAACATCCACATCCAAAGCAGCAGTCGGGGCCCATCTCGTCGGGAGTGCGGAGGAGCGCGAGGGAGCGTTCCTGGAGGAGCAGGAGGGAGCGTTCCTGTCGGCGGGAAGATGGCGGGCGCTGCCCGCTGGGCGGCGGCTCGGCCCAGCCGGGCCCGGCGCGGCCTGGTCCTGCGGCGCCCGCGCAGTCCACGCGAGCCAGGCCCGTCCTCACCAGGGCATACCTGTCCGTGACCTTTTCCTCTGCTTTTTACAAAGGCAATAGATGGGAAACACAAATAGACCTGCCAAAACAAGAAGGTCAGACAACAAACATAATTAAAATGCTGGGCTTTGGGCGGTCGCTTTGCTCTTTTGGGGTGTATAGAGCATTCAGCATTTCCATCTCTGAGAGCACGTAGGCATTTGGACAAGCAGAAAAAAAACACACTGGAGTGCAAGTGTCGTTTTCGTAACACGTTAAACTGGGGCTCTCCTCTGCTTACTTGAGAACAAACTCCTGCTAAAGCCCCCAAGCCTGACAAATTCCTTACCAGTGATCTGCTTCGTAAGAGATATACACATTCAAAGTTTTAAGTTTGTTAAGTTTTATACTTTTTATAAATTTTTAAAGTTCAAATTTTTAGAGCTAAATCCAGGGCTGAATTAATTAAACCGGTTTTCATAAACACGTATCATGTTCATCTGAAAAGCTAAAAAATATCTGCTCATTGTAACTTTGGAATTCTGGGTTTATTTCTTCCCCAAATCCCACTCCTTCCAAATCCCCTTAGCTTTTAATTCAAGCAGTTTCACAAGTATTAAAGACAACATATTGTATCTGTACTTTTTTTTTTTTTTTTTTTTTTTTAAACAAGCATCCTTTATCGATCATTACGTAATAAAATGTTTATTCTTGACCGGAAGGGATTTTTTTTTTAATCTTAAAAAGTTGTTTGAGTGAAAGTATAAAAGGAAAAGAAAATCAAAAAATCAGATTTATCTAAGCGAAAAATAGCTTGTCATAATAGAGATTCTTTCGACACCAACGGAAAAAGTGCATCTTATCTCCCCCTCTCCTCCCCACCAACTGAGATGTCGAAGAATCGCTTTTCAGGCACCACCACAGTAACCAACCATAGCAAAAGACTAGTGAGGTTCTTGCTATGAATCATCTTTTTATTGTTGCAAAACAGTTTTCAGCTATGCCACTGAGATTACTTTTACAAGTGTGCTGGCAGTAAAGGACTGCTGTAATTGTTTCAAAAGCAACACCTTACTGTCAGTAATCAATGTCTTTGGAAATGTACACACTCCTTGATTGCCTTTCTTATCTGGCCAGACCCAGGGTGGGAGTTTGGTGGCAGAACAGGCACTACTGCAGCCGCATTCCTGGAAAAGCCTCTTAGATTTAATTTTTAATGTAAGCAAAAGATGTTTTTCATTATAGATTATACCAGACTGCTGAACAAAATAAGCTTTACTGGCTGCACTTTTTGACATAAAAAAGCCACTAAAGCAACATACCTCCTCAGCCAGCCCAACTCAGAGTATTATTACAGAAAGTGTATTTTCATCTAAATACTATAAATATTCAATATATTTCTTATCATGGCAAGCATACTCTAGAAAAGCTTTATCAGTATATTGGTTATATACTGACTGGTTATGTACAATCTTATTGATGCAAATACCCTACTACATATTGACTTTATCATATCAGAACAAAGGTCCATCATCCCAATATGCTTCAGAGATGGGGTTTCACCCTAAAGGTCCAATGACTTAGAGAAATTTGGTGAAGGGTTGCAAAGCATCAAGATCCGTGAGTGGCATCTTACTGGCAATATAAATGAATAGCAGCTATGCACTTTCACAGGCAAAATTACACCTTGTAGCACACCCAAAAGTTGGGTCCCAGAGGGGTGCTGAAAGAAAGGTCCAAGCCAGGCAGCCCATGGCACTAGGTATAGATTATGCAGGCATTTTGTTATTTTAACAATAACAGGTAAGGATTTGGGATTAAAAAAGTCTTAACGATTAAAGAATAGTGGCAGGGAGGGAGAGAGAGGGAGAAGAGAGGTAGACCTAAAATGTAAGTAAGGCATATTGTTATAAAGCTTTAACATTCCGAAGACATAAGTCCATTTAGTAAAAAAAAAAAAAAAAAAAAAAAAAAAAAAGTGTGTAGGTTTTACGCAAAAAACTCTGCAGTTTGTCCATCTCAAAGAGGGAAATACCGAAACGATAAAGTCATGCAAAAATCTGGCAAAATCAGGGTCAGACTCATTCCTGTAATTCATGTAATTCTTACCTATTACAACAGCTATGGCTCCCAGTGCCAGTCCAAGAACCAGTATTAGGGGTGTAATGAGTAGTTTTCCAGCTGAAACACAAAATTCATTAAACAATTCAAAGCAGGCATTTTATTTCCCCCTCTCCAACCATTCATAAATATTTGGATAATTTGACCTCTCAAAAGCTAGTTGGGTTTTTTTTTTGAATACTTCAGCGAGGTTATTATTTGGAAAGTCACCCTGCCAGTACAGCTAGGAATCACCACCAAAAAGCCACGTCCTTGCACACACTGCTGGCTTTATCTACCGCAGTTCTCTCAATACAGCTTGCTTTGGGTATTAACAACTAACTTCAGCATCCATTCTGAAATCCTCCGGCACGGACATGAACACGAAGGATACAAGGTTACTGTCTTCTGGCTTTAGAGATTCTCCAGAGTCCCGTTGTACCACAACCGCTCTGGAAAGATGCCAAGCAAGCCCGTATCTCTGGGGAGGAAAGGTTGGCTCAAGGCAACACCACCAGCTGCTATCTAAATGTGCTTCTCCTCCCTCAAAAAGGCTACGGGAGCCTCCTCCTGTGCCGCTGCGATTTAGGACTAAATCTAACCTCTGCCAGCCCTACTTTGGATCAATATTTAAAACACTGTGTTGCTGTTCCTACATGAATAAGTTGTACTGCTTATCAGCTAGAGCATGAGGCTCTGAGACCAAATGAAACCCACTCTCATTCCCTACCTTTTTTTTTTTTATTTAGTCATCTGTATAATGGAAAGGAAGGAAGGCAGAGCTCCTTTTGAAACGCTGAAGGTATTTGACTTTGGTTCAAAGTTCAGTTTCAACTACCATGGGCAGAATAATTCTCACTGCGTCAGCCAAGCGACTCAAAGATGCTGCTTTTCTCAGCTCTCTGAAAATGCAGCGTTCTCGAGCACTTTTACTCACACACCAGCAGTTTGAACAGAGGTTTGCAATTCACCAATTCCCCGTGTTAAGCTTAAGCTTGGAAGATTACCTTTAGAAAGGGAGGAAGAACCAGTTAATTCCCATTGCCTTCCCTCTCTTAAGTCACTTGTATCAGATTTCAGTACATGGATTACTTCATTCAGCAATGATGTAAACCTCTCCACAACCTGAAACACTAATTTGGGCAGTCTGAAGGGAAAATGAGCTATTTTGGAAATATTTACAGCAGTCAATGAATTGCTCCTTTTCACACTTCTGTTTTGATAGCTTTTAAATTTCTTAGGAGTGTTGTGATTGGGAAATATTAATTCCTAGAATAAAAAAAAATTGGCAATACTATTGGTATTACTCTATTTGCTAGGCATCCTAATAGTAGACCTTTAGGGACTCCACCGAGTTATATTATATATACACATAAGCTGTCGTTGCCTCAATAAGTTATTGAAGTGTAGACAAGAGAATGAATGTCAAGGGATGGAAAATTCAAGTAAGCACTAAAAATCAGTGATAAAAAATATTTAAAACATTAGGAACACCTTCAACAATTTTAAAGTAAAACTCATAAAATGCTGTTTTAAGGCATAAGCGCTATATAATTTATTAATAACAATATACCATATACTATTCACATAAATTGAATGTTAGATATTTGATACCAAAATTATTAAGAACTGGAATAGAAAACTAAAGCACACAGAATCCAGATTCTATAGAAGGGCTAAGCTAGCTTTGACGCAAGTAATTTCTTTGCGGATACAAATCATGTTTCTTAAGCTAATTTTGTTTAATATCTTGTTGACTCATATTTGACAAACTCTGAGCTGAAATAAAGCATTAATGTTTGCTTTTTTCCTCCTGCTTGTGAATAGGATTAGTTCTATGATCTAAAAGGATGGAATGACCTTTCATGGGACAATCAATTCACTAACTATATCTTTCTTTGTTTAACCAAGGCATTCTTTCTAAATGTTAAGCTTTAAAAATAAAATTATTATATATGTATTATATCTTTGTATATCCACACAGTATCCTTTGTATGCAGTGCCCTTATAAAGGCAGTCAAGACCTTTATCTTTTTTTATTTTTATCATATAAAATCATCATACACTGGTACTCAACATGATCATAGAGACCTCTGTATTAACATAATATTTACATTTTGAGGACTTTCAGATGATTTCAGAGAAGTTTCACTGCTGTTGATACACAAAACCAATATTGTTCCACAAAAGGAGGAATCATTTTAGGAAACATGAGGGAATGTTTTCCCCTTGCATAACTTTCTATATATTTCCTTAAAGACACACCAAAAAAAATCCTTTGAGAATTCTTTTCCACATAAAACCCTAGTATACCAGTTTTGGAGAACAAATTTAATCACCAGCATATGAAAAATGGAAAGTTCAGTTCTCCAAGTCTAAATACCAGTATATGCTTAACTAGAGCAACTATAAGTACACATTCACAAATCAAGACAGTCATATCTAGCTAGATTTAAGTTCTAATACGAGTTTCCATCTGTACTTTAAAATGTACAATCAAATGCATAATGGGCATTCTTATAAATCAGCCTGATTTAAGCAATAAAATTCCTTTTGCAGTGCTCCCAAATGTGCACTCATAAAGCAAACCATGCACTCTGCTTTTTGGACAGATCAGCCTGATTTGAAAACATGTTTGTCTTCAGATTCATACTTGAAATGCTATACACCATGCATAAAAAACTTCAGCTGCTTTAATAGCATGCATTACATGTTCTGTCCTGTTATATCCAAGTAATTAGCAAATGATTTTGAACATAATTCACTCAGCTGAATGCAGGGGATACTTAAAGTGGCATCTGAAATACACTGAAGACAGTGTAACATAAGTTTCTCCTTTCTGTATTCAATAAGGAATGTAACTCGCACCTAACTCAAGTTACAATTAAATGTCTGCCTTCAACAACTTAGCTAAGCAGAGTCTAACCAGTATGAGGGTGAAACCTCCAAGTCCAATGGGAATGTAGGATAAAAGCTATTTCATCTTCCTGTTCAGCATGGTCACAGGAAAAAGCTCCTTTAAAAACATATGTGGGCTAAAATGGGGGGGCAGAAATGCCATCAAATTAAGCGGAGATCAGTTCTTCCATCAGTTTATTTTCTTCTTTTCCTTCTTCTATTTTCTTTGCAAAGCCACTGGTTTATGAAGAACAGTATGTTTAAATTTAATGCTATCAATTTATGTTGCCATAAATGATTTTCCCTTTCTTTTATTACAGAACATTCTGTGACTGCAGGCACAGACCTTCTAAACAGAAAATACGATCCCAAGCCAGAATCTGCCATAAAATGTTCTCTCCTTTTTATATACCCCATCCACCTGGATTAAGTTTAAAAAAAAAAAAAAAAGTGCCAAAGAATCTCTACTGTACAAGATCACCATATTTACTTCAACGAGCGCACTTCTCCATAGCAGGAACACAAAAAAATCTCACAGGATAAAACATATCTAGCAACACTTCATTGATCTCCCACTTGCAGCTAAAAGTTAAGTTCTCTAAGTAGGAGTGCATTTTACTACAGTAAATCCTACTTTTTTTCCTCACTGGGTTACATGTTCCTAAAATTTAGACACTATGCTTCATGGTGACCCTTTCCTCCGTATTCTGCTCCAGTCTCCTCTTTCCACACTCCACATTCTGAGCTTGTGTTTTGTTACAAACAAAAACAAAATCAAAGATGATGATAGAGATTCTGAAGGAAGGTCTATAAAGACAGCAGGCAATGAACAAATTATTAATATTTACTACATTTTATGAAGGAAGAAGTAACAACTAAAATTAGCTAGAGGCAATTTAAAAAAAAAAAAGTGAGGAAGGAAATATTTTCTCTGCACAATGTATAACAGAATATTACAGCAAAACGCCCAGAGATGTCATGGAGACCAAAACTATAAGTCATTAAACAAGAACTGTATAAACTGGTGAAGCATACTTCTATTGACAGCTGTCAAGCAAAGATGCAGATGCCAACCTCAAGCAAGGTAGACCCTAAAGCAGTGATTATTGGATTACCAGCGACTTCGCTCCTGTTTCCCCTTGCCCGCTGCTGAAGACAAGGTCTGCTACACAGACGTTTGCACTTGCCCGGTTAATGAAAAAAAAAAGATAAATTCTGCTGAAGAAGGCTTAAGTTTTACCAGAAAAGCTGCTCCTGCCAAGCCTCCAGCCCTCAAGTGGCAGAATCACAAGCTGGACTGACATTACTCAGAGCTGGGCATGTCTTTGGAGGAGGATGTCAGGACTTTACCACGTGAGGCCTACTTAGGAAAATAAAGGCCTGGGTAAATCAAAGACCCTCCAGAACCCACACAAGTTAATCATAGCTAAAATCTTATCTAACAGAGGAAAAGCACGTGCCTAAATTCTTGATTCCTACACAAAAACAAGTTGCTACACCAATAGAGCCCTAGAGTGTTTTGCTAGTTATTCATGCAATCAAACATGAAAGCTACAATCCAATTTCTCTGTGGAGAAGCCTGATGGACTTAGGGCCCTGGATATCAGCGCAGAACTCTGGCTCATTGGGAACGTGGTTTTTAACAAACTATTTTAAAAAACATGGCAATTAGTATGTTTTTTGGCAAAAGCAATTGGCGTCCTCTCTATTAACACAAACATTCTCCTGAGAAAATAACACATTAAGACAGAGGAGAGGAGTCTTGTAGAGAAAGTTTTAACAGCAAACTCTAGGAGAAATTTAGGTTGAGGTTTGGAACTTTGCTAGCCTTTCTTGGCTCACTAATTAAAGCAAGCCACAAGCATACTCACAAACAGTGATTATTCACATCTAAACTAATCTTCTTTCTTGTTAATAAAAGCTTTTTTCCCTTTTTTTTTTAAGAGAAAAATATTGTGTATAATACTTTCTTCAAAAAACTGTAAACAAACAAAATAATTTATGTATATTAAAATCATGCATACACAGTTTCTGACATTAATCAGCAAACTGCATGTGCAGATACTACAAGTGTAAACCAATGCAAAATTTAAACCAGTAATAATGTAACTGCTGGCAGATCTAATTTTGTGATAAAAGATAGTGCTTATTCATATGTGTATCTCCACAGCACGTAAAAGGTTTAATCTTGAAGCAACATTACCTACAACTCTGCACGTGAGCAGCACAGTATTTGTAATGTCCAACTATAATCTTTTGCTATCACACACAGCAACTCCAAGATCCATTTTAAAAAAAATTTATACTGATTGCCATGCTGACTTTACGGAAATCTCTTCTGAAACCTTACCAAGTGCTTAGAAACAGCCTTTCAATCTAAAGCCTAAATTTATTCATGAACAGTTTACATCAATTTGTTCTAGTGCCAGTGTTACTTTCTCATGTGTTGGAATTTATCTCTATAAAATATATAGCAAACATATACAATTATTTTGAATTTTTATCCTCTTTTCCCATTTATTTCCGCCTCTCTAATTCACCTCTATTTTTAAGTTTATTTTACAGCCTTGCAAATTACTTAGGTCAAGCTAATGGGGCTGTATTTCTTATGATTTGTTAAACACGCACTCCACGTTTTCTGGTCTCTCACAACTTTGTGGATCAGCTAACAACTCTTATTACCAGGCCTACGAGCTTCTGTGCCAGGTTCTGTATTACTCTAAAACGGAAATCAGTTGGTTTTCTTCCTGGAACAAACACATTTGGCTCGGGAGTATTGTTTTCAACTCAAGGCTACTGACATCTACTCATTCAATCTCTATATTCAGCATCATCCAATTGAAAAACTCAAAGCATTTCCTTATCCCAGGTAAATTCCAAATTATCTCCAAGTTCTTTGACTTGTTTCAAAGTAAAAAAAAAAAAAAAAAAAAAAAAAAAACAACAACAACAAAAAACCTTTCCCTAATAGGCCTCCAGTTCTTAATATGGGCCCCCATACCTTTTCCTACAATGTTTGAGATTGATAACAATTCCTAGCTTACACAATACCTTATACCTCTACTAATCTAATATGTTGTAGCATGTTATACAATGTACAATGGTTGTTGTGCTTCTTTAAGGTTGAGATGGGTATACACCTTGTTCAAAAGCAAATTGGGAGTCAAGCTTTGGGCGTTATATTCTTATGAGTAATACTAATATATATATGGTTGTGCTTTTAAGCTGGTTTTTATCTGAACAGAATGATCAAAGCCAAGAACGTGCACTTTGGCAGCTTTGCTATCTTCTCACGAGTGATATCATGCAAGTCTATTAGTCAGATCTCCCTCAGTTGACAGTCCTCAACTAGCAGCAAGGACCAAAAAAGCCCACAGAGGAGAACTACCTCCTTTACAAATATGGTATTTCAGATGCTTCCTTCTCCCCACTCTCCTACTGGGTAGTTCAGATTATCCTGAGCTCATCAGGCAAATCCCACTTCTGGGGACAAACATTTCCCTAGGTGTTACATGGGGTCAGCTCCTCTCCAGGCACTTCACTGGGTGACCATACTCTGCTCAGACTTAGCCAGATTTCATCATGCCATGACCTGCACTTTGGCAACAGTCAACTCCTCCTGTAGATGCTTTTGTAGATCTAGGTTTCAGCTGCTACGCGATGTGGCACATCTTTTACTGTGTGCCTGAGTAGATGCTTCTTCATTCATATTCATTAGCAGAGGGACATAAAGAGCAGACAGCAGTAGTTACATGGCCATATGTAAAAAGATAAAGATACAAAATGAAATTTCTCACATCATAAGCCTGAGCACTGCACAGAGGATTTTCATCAAAAGTTGTTCTGTGAAACCACTGCACAATAAAAAGTCCTTTCAAGTAGCTGGGGTCACTATGAAACTTAAGGTGAATACATTATAAAGTGAATTTGATGGTCTCTGAAACAAATTAAAATTCTTTTTTTGAGACTGACTTACGCTGCAATTAGGGCTTTGCTTTTCAAGTTTGCTTGCTGTCATTACATGTTATTGAAAAAAGGTTAGGAAACATTACAAGAATAGAGGACGATACTTAATTCATACAGAGTCCATTGAAAAATAGTGTTCAAATGCTACATCTTTTAGTATTTTTAGAAAACCGCCTTTTACACAAGGGGGCAGCTGTCTGTGCCTCCTCTACTTTAAAGCAATGTGTTTTAGCATACTGATTTTTCCCCCCCAGTCACCTCATTGTGCAGCTCTCTACAAGGTACATGTATCCACTCACCACAGACAGAGCCTCGCACTAATCTCCTTAAATGTGGTCTCTCGGGGAGGTAGCGGTATTTGCATCCAAAGATACTGAGGTTTGACGTGTGATCTCCGAAGAACCGGAGCTGGCGGTATCTCTCCCCACAACGGTAACAGAAATTAGTGTTACACTGGGAACAGGTCATGTGGTCACACCCTTCCGTTCTCTGGATGTGGATCTTTATGAGCAGAACAAAAAAGAAAAGATTATTTTTTTCCCCCCTAAGCACAGGAACGTAGATGCTACCCCGTATATACTGCATATACCGTGTCCAACGGGTTGACAATGTGAGCAAGCCCTTGCTTAACTCAGTGTTTGCATTAACCGATACTGCAACTCTCCTCTAAGACAACAATTTTCTACAGTCTGTTTACAGAAAAACAAACATAAAAGTTGTATTTGTTTCCAAACTTTCACTGAAGCGCTTTCTATTTATTTCTTCTTTGTTAAAACCACTTCTTTGCCTCAGATGATAATCCAAATGCCCTTTCCTCTTACTGAATGATTTGAAAGATGACAAGTTGTGTTATTTCTTAGGCAGTCACATCAGTACCAACTGTTATTAACAGTAGTACAGCAAATATAGCTCGTGAACTCTGCCTGACCCACCGAATACGGGTTTCCCTCTTGTAGCACCTGTGGCCCCACTCCCTTTTCCATTACAAATTGGTTTGGCATTTTGCAACCAAAACAACTGTGCTGTTTGCATGAATGAGAAGAGTAGTAATGGATTTTTTCTTTTTAAAGAAAGTATCTGCAACTGCATTAAAAGAAATTGCACCCGGCTATCATGTTTGCCCATTAAGCAAAGCAGGGCTGTCTTGGGTTCTGATTTCATCTTTCCACCGATTGCCTGTACGAATTAACTCATTTACCATTCCTATAGCTCCATGCATTCTTCTGCAAAATTGGTACATTTACTTACTTTGCACAGATTCTGTTGGGCTTCAGTTAATAATTCAGAGAATCTTAGAAGAAAGGATGCCCCGAGGCTGAATGTTTCACTAAACCATATTACATACTGCAGCTATGATTACAAAGCTACTTTAAATCTTGCCAACTAAAAATACAGTTACAGCACTAAGCATTTTTCTCTTTTTACAAAGCTGATGAAAACCAACATCCTATTGACTTTTACTTGTTAAAACTTGCAATGAACACCTCCATAACCCCTTACTCGTATCAGCAAATATCTATTTTGTGAGGAGGTGAAGGTGAAGGCAAAACATCACTCCTTAAAAAGGCCTTGCCAGCAACAAAGCACTTACCTGAGATGTGGAAAGCTCAGGAACTGGCCTCTCACCTCAAGAGAGGCTTGTAACTTGTGGGCTTTGGAAATTCATGAGAGGGTCAAATGTGTTTGCACTTTTAAGTCTGAAAAGCCTTGCCCACTCAGCATGCTACTGAAACTGGCGCTTCACATTCATAGATGTAGATAAGAAACAAATGGGTGTTTTCCAGTAACACTACTTTTGGTAAAAGAATGCAGAGTACAGGTAGTTAAAACTAATTCTCGGTGCACCTGCCAACAGGTAAAATTCAGAGAACTGTACAGGATTTTGTGATTTTGGAGATTACTCTCCTCATCTGCTGGTTCACAGTAACGCACTTCTATCTTAACCTTTCTGCCCACTTCCCACCCGCCCATGTATACTTCTCTCTTCAAGCATCATGAGGTTGACCCAGCATTTGTTTTCTTACAGATACATAGTGCAATTATAGGAACTTTACTTTTTGAAAATGCAGATGTAATATTACAAAACTTTTGGACAATGTTTATGAAGAAACTTCTATGCATAATCCTCTAAAAGCTGCAAGTCTGAAACAACTCATTTTACCTGCCTTTTACAGTTTTTTTTGTTGAGAAAAAATGCTTTTTGATAAGGACAGAATCTATTGAAAAAATTAATCGTGGAGCATGGAGAGCCCGTCCATGCGCACAGACTGACAGTGTCAGATGAGCTCGACACAGCCCTGGCAGGCGGCCTTCCAGACCGACAAGTGGCATTTCATCAGAGAAACTTCAGCTCTGCTTCACGCGGCTACTCCTCCGCTGACAGAGATGGATGGCAAACCTACAGGATGGGAACGTGATGGCCGATGGGTCAGGTATCACACGAACGTTCCCCCTCGGTTGGCCGAAACAGAGGAAGGTGCCAGGCAGCGGGGACTGAGAGGAGCGCGCGGGGCTGGGAATGCGGCCTGCTATAGTTAGCGGGTTCGGCGCGAGCTTCGGGCCTTCATCAGCTCAGAGCTTCCCAGCAACACGGCAGGGGGTAGAGGCGGCAAGATGAGAGGGAAGGACTGCCACCAGCCTCCGGGCACTCAGGTGCTATTACCGGCTTTATCCCGCACTGCAACAACTGCCCACAGCCTGCTCCCATCCAAGGCCAGACCTACCCTTCCACGGGCAGGCGAGTCCCCTCAGGAACTCAAGGGCCCCTGGAACAAGAGGGGTTTTAAAAAAAATAAAATATAAAAAAAAAAAAGAAAAAGAAAAAAAGCACCAACTGTGAAGTGCATGGAGTTAAGGGACTTACGGCAACAGCTGAATTAGCAGATTGGCTCGAGGACACAGTTTGGGAGCCCTAGCAGATACACCTTACTTGGCAGCTGCACAACAAATACACATGACTGTAGTAATCTTCTAGAGAATGAGCAGTGGCCAAAGAGATCTTGGAAATACTTCAATATTTTCCTTGATGAACTGAGACCAAGTTGCCTTCAAACCCTTTGTAAAGGGAGGTCCGTTTTGGGAGAAAGCTTAATGCACAACTGAATCCCTTCCTACACAAGCACAGATTCTCTTCAATCCAGGCAGTAAGAATTCAAAGAACACCTTAAAAAAGTATGCCTGAGTTATCTGAGAACATTCATTTTAAGCAGATAAGCAAATCCACGTATATGTTAGTAGACACTCCTTAATTTCTATTAACACTCTTGTTTTCTGAATTTTCTGCTGGTGTTCAAAGCTAAGTAAGCATCGCTACTTCGTTTCCTCTATCAGTATTCACTTTTGAGGTCTGTGGTAAGATAATACCAATGCAAGCACTTCCTTGCTTTGCTATACTGTAAAAACACTGATGAAGGACATTTTGATGGAAACTCATTGTTTCAAAAAACTGAAAACAAACAAACAAAAAAACCTACACATCCCCAAATTAGTGAAGGGGTAGGCAGATAGATTTTACATGTTTTATGAAAAGGCACTTAACGATATGCAGTCATTTCCCACCTGTCAGCCAACTGCATCTAAAACAATACCACAGCTTTGTTGGACAAATCTTGAGAAAAATGGTCTATGCTGAGTATCTCAAATCAACATACGATAAATTTGGAAGGGCTCTACAAAAAACAAAACAAAAACTCTAAGAAGTGCCATAATTCTTTTAAAATATATAAAAGAATATTAACTTGCTATTAATATACTGGTATATATTCACAAAATAACAGTAATATATTTTGAATACATGCAATATTTTTTTATTAGAGCTGAAAATAATCTCTTCCTGTTAGGTGCACTAAAACTGTGTCTACCTAGAGAAAAAAGTAATTAAATTTAAAGCTTTTTAACAGTACCCATTAGTATTAACATTCCCAAGGATCACATTCTTCCAAAAATGCTTACCAAAAACCACCGCAAAACGTGTGAATACTTGCTGAAGGATGTGCCTATATATTCACTATAAGATTACTAGCACTTGCAATCTCCCATTTTCCCACCTGCATGCCCAGACGAAACAAATTGTGCATTCTACTTCTCAGTAACACAGCTACTTAAAACAAATAAAGTCTGTGTATATTTGTGTTTGGGTATGTAAAATTCTCCCAAATATATTTGTTAATATATAAAGTTAAAATCTGTGACACTAATCAGTATCACACTTTGGAATTTACTAGCAATTTTGCAGGTCATGTCAGGAAAGACTGCCTCTATTAGACTTTCTACTTTCAGTTTCTATTTGTTTCCATTTTAGAGTAAGGATCAACTACTAATATCTTGACACTTAAAATTTTATCTTGACTTTTCCTCAATTTGTTAGTCAATTGAGCCTATTGCATTTTTTAAACAAAGCATTAAAGATTCTTGTAAATGGAACATAAGCACATACTAAATTAGGATAGCCATTACATGAAACACTCCTACCTGGATCTAGAAAAAAGTCAGATCAACCCCTACGCTAACAATCCTGTTTTCTCCTTCACTCTTTTTGAATTGGAAACATGACAACCGTCTGGTTAAGTACAGACCATTATCTCATCTACAGGGTATTTTGGGGAATAACTTTCCATATAACTTTCCATATTGCCTCCCACCATGCAAGAGGTTCTATTTTCTTTTAACTTAAAGAAGAAGAAAAAAAAAAAAACCCACAACCTTAAAAAACAAACAAACAAACAAAAAAACACCTTTTTTTGGAACTAATACCCAAACTCACCCAACTTCAGGGCTGGAAAAGAATTGCTTAGTGCAGAAGCTTTTAGTGTCTAGCTTTTTCTTTCAAGGTCAGTGAAAACAGCTATACACTGTATATTTCAAAAAAATCACATCATTTCTTTAAAGAGTATTAAACATGTTAAGGTCTACAACTTTTTCTTCCCCACTTGTACCTCCCTTTTCCCTGCCAGCAAGGCTCTCTCCCCTGCTTTTCCACGTTCACACTTCTTGGCTTAGTACCTTTCTTTTCTTTTTTGCCACCATTTATTTTTGACAAGACTGACTAGTGCTTATCTTTATGTACTTATTTCTCCAGTTACATCATTCACATTGTCATAAAGTCTGAATCTGGATGCAGGTCAAAGCATTAAAAACAAACGGATATCCAAAGGGAACAAAGTTTGTGAAAGCACTTTACTGTGAAGACTTCCCAGAAAGCGAACGTTTTTAGAACTGGCTCAAACCTATCAACTCTTACCAAGTGCCAAGTCGTTAAAATTCTGCTCCAATGTCACGTGTACGTGGGAGGAAGGGTAAACAAATGACTGCTCATTTCAGAGCTTTAGGAATTTTGGTTAATGTTTTGAAATCTTTCAATTTCAAGCCACAGCATCAGAGGCATTTCTTTGCCCTGAGCAAAGTAAGATATTTAGTACACTGATAAACACTATCCTACTTGCTCAGGACAAGGTTTGAAGTGTAACTAAAGTATACTTCATGGGGAAAAAAAAAAAAAAAACCCTTCCCATTCAATATTTACTTCCTACTAAATGCTCCAGAGTTCTTACTGTGTCCTCTCCTTGAGTTAGGTGTGGAGCGATAGGTTCAAACCTATCAAAAAGCCTTTCAAACCCTTTCAAAAAGCCACAGATCCCCCCACCACGGTGCTCTCAGGGTTGTTACTTCCTACCCCCTCCAAGTAGCTGGGGATGAAGAACCACTGAGCAAACTTAAGAGCCACCTTCATTAAGGGCAGCTGGAGAGGGGCCCGTGGCTGCTCAGTCTCATTTGACTAGTTGGAAATACTG